TGCGTTTTTTTTTCACTAGCTTACTCTTCTGTTTGTGTATTGTTATTTGTTCTTGTGCTTTTGTTATTTGGTGGGTGTGAGCATAGGGTGATGATGTTTCTGTCAAGCAAGTTTAGATTGGTTGCAAAATATATAGTTTTGTTGTAGTTGACTTGTATCTAAAGTTTTAATTTATGGTTATAATAGATGATTGTAATGAACTTTTATTTCCTCATCTTGTTAAGTGTTTTTATGTTATTAATTATGTGATAGCTCTTATTTGAATGGGATATTACATTTTTAATTTAATATCAATTAAAATTTTATTTAATTTTAATATTTTTATTATAGATATATTTTTCTACAGTTTTATATAGAACTCATATTTGTAATTGAAATAGCTGTTACAGTTTTGTTTAATTTTAATACTTATATACTTTTTCTTATTGGTAATTTATTATATTTACTTCAATATTAAAAATACAACTAACTATTATTTATTATATAAATATAATTTTTAAGGTTAAATATATTTTTGATTTTATTAATTTAAAAAAATAGAATTAATTATTATTCAAAATTTTGGATCAAGTTAGTTGCTCATATTTAGAAACATATGTAAATTTAATTATTTTAATCCAATTTTGTTAATATTATTTGACATTTTAATTTTGTTTCATAATAACATTTGAATTGGTTATAACTTTTCACACATGTTTACTTGATATTAGTTATTTCATTATTGAAACGTTAAATAAATTTAATAAAATTTGATTAAACTAAATTGATTAAAGTTTCAAAAATTAACTAATTCTAATTTTTACTAAAAATTAAAGAAACAAAAAATTATTTAACCTTAATTTTTAATATTTTTAATTTTATTTTTTTATCTCAATATTAAAAATATAACTAACTATTTTTTGTGACATATATTTATATAGTTGACATATTCTTAATTTCTATAACTATTACAATTTTATTTAATTTCAATATTTCTATTACACATTTTTATTGTTGATTTACATATTAGACATGTTTTTAATTTCAATAACTGTTATAGTTTTATATAGTTCATACTTATATAGTTTTGATTTACATATTTTTTGTTTAGGGTTTTCTGATTTAGGATTTTTTATTTTCTAATTTAGGACTTTAGGGTTTTTTGTGCAGGTAGCGTGATTGAGGTTGAAGAAGGAGGAGATTGAGGTTGCAATTTTATGATTCGTGACGAAAGCGAAGAGGAGCAAGGCATTTCACGGTGGTGACACTATTGTGGCTTGGTTGTTGTTCGCGAGAAGAGGATGATCGCGATTAGGGTTTCACGTTATCAATTTGGATTTTGTGGTGGTTTCTTGTAGGTGGAATCGTGGCCATGGAGGTTTGAACGAAGGTTTCTCTCGTTCTTGCAGATCCCGAGGAGAAGGGAATTAGCAATGGTGGTTCTGGAACGAGGTTAATGGTTGTTGTGATTTAAGTATGGTTTGTTGTTTCAGATTCCTAGTTGCACGAGAGAGAGCAAAGATGAAGCTTTCGTGCTGGCGGACATGGTGGTGGTTCAAGGGAGATGGTGGTTGCTGCGGTAATAGTGGTAGCCCGATCGAAGAAGAAGATGTAAATCTATTAAGAGAAAAATATAAAAAGTGAAATAAAAACTTTTATTGTCAGGCACGAGTATTTCAAAACTGGACAGGTTAGCGTTCTTACCACCATCAGCAAAAACAAGACAAACTTGAATCATTCTTACAAAACACGGAACCACTTTGAACAACTCAAAAATAGAAGGACCACTTTGAACACACCTAACAAAATTAGGGACCAAAATTTATATTAAGCCTAAAATATAACAGTTTTATATTTTTTAAATTTCAAAAATTTACAAAATTAATTAATTATCATTTACTTTATTTAATTGTAATTAGTGTGTTAATTAATTATATAATGAAAGGTAAAATTTATATATTTTTTAAAATTTCAAAAAATTTATATAAATATTCATTTAGAAATTAAATGATTTTAATTATGTGGTCTTTCCTAATCTTAAATAGATCTTCTTTTTCTATTCATTCATTTTCACTCTCATCCAATTACATTCTATAACACAGAAAAAATAGAAGACTTTTTGTCCCGAAAGGTACGATGGACTACTGATTCATTATAAGGTTTTTCTTTTCTCTCTCTTTATCATTGTTCTATAATTTATTATTTTTGTTCTACTTTTGTTTTTTTTTTCTTCTTTTATCTATTTATTTTTATTTTATTTTATTTTTAATCAAGCCTTGGTGCTTTGCTTTTTTCCAAATCCTAATTTCCTTTTCAAGTAGTTTCTTCTTTTCCACATTGGAATTAAACAAATAAAACCAACAATTGAATTTTATAATTAATTTGTGCTTTGCTTGGGTTGATTATAATATTAGTTGGTTTAATTATCTTGATTTTAAAAAGGTATTTTTTATTATAAATAAAATATATGGATCGATATTTAGGATTTAGAATTTAGAATACTAATGGAGAGCTTTAGGATTTAGAACTTAGAATTTAGAATAATTGAAAAATAAATTTTAAATAAAATCGTGAATAAAATATTTTATTTTTAATTTAATTTTAGATTTCTCAAAACTTTTAACCTTAGTTTGTGGTTATTTCTGTTAGATTTTGCATGACATTTGTTGATTTAGATGTGAGCCAATAATATTTTTTCCTCAATTTACTTGTTTGGAATCTTTTGCATTTCATGACTATGCAATGCTAATTCTATAATTGCTACACTTAATAAAAGAATTCATTTTTTTTTATTTGGTGGTGGTCCTTAGAGTATTTTAATTGTTTTCCCTATGTTTTTTTAAGTAAAGATATTATATCAAAACTTAGACTTTATTTCTAACACTCACTGATAGTTTATAATGGCTTATAGTTGTTGTAGAATAAACCGTTTTTAATAAAGCAAGATGATGTATGTCAAAGATTCCAATGTCAGAAATTCCAGCAAATGTAATCCAGAATATTCTTCATCCTTAGTCTTAAACCTTCCTTTGCATGAAGATTTGGATTTAAGACATCAATATAATATAAAGAATCAAGTCTGGTGTAAACATCCTGAAATCAGCCACCACCGTAATAGTATTAGAAATGACATGTAAGTTTTTACATTAACTCAAGCTTTATAAAATTTACTCCGATAAGATAAAAATAAAAAGAAGCTGAAGATATTAGTGCTGACTTAGTTTTGAGTTGATACTACCTAAATTTTACTTAGTTTTGAAATTTCAATAACCATAATGCATTGGGAGCGGATAAAGTCATTTGGTATTGCAAATATTCTGGAAAGCGAACTATTTATGGATGCTGCTTCACTGGTATGTTTTGAAACTGTCTAAGCATGTTAGTTTTCCATTTGTTAGTAGGCAATGAGAGGATAAAATACAAATTTTGCATAAATTTTCTTATTTAAGTATTCAGGATATTTGATAAGTTTTTTTTTTTAAATGTTTGACGTAACAGGAGGAGTATAGGAATAGGAAGACATTGATTCAGCGCTTGAAGACAAAAGTAGTCATGTTTCGTGCAAACAAACGTTGTCAAGCCGACAATATTATTTCTTTCACATCTAACATGTTACCATCTTCGCATTCTTTGTCTAATGTAAGACCACCCGGACATGCTTTTCAGAGAGTGCTCCCTCCTTGCATTAATGCAACTGGTGTAGTTACTGAAGATAAGAAACATGACTCACCAAAAAGAGGGCTGTCTTCAATCCCAAAATGCACTGATTTGGATGTGCTTCCTGAGTTTCCTGTTGCTTTGGTTGGGGGAAGCAATTTGGAAGCTAACTCCAAGTCATTTGGTTGGTACTTCAAATTTTGTTTTTACTATCATGTTTTGTTTTTGTTTTTCCTTTTCCAAAACTACTAATTTTATATGATGTATGATTTGAATTTTCAGAAGTATCTAATCATTTTTTTTATTGTCCTTCTGAAGTCATGCAACCACTAACCAAAAGAAGAACAGTGGATTCTGAAACTGAGTACAAGGTGGAACAAATTACAAACCCAGTATCTGAAAGCAATATTTGTATAAAAGATAATTTATTGAGTGATACATTTGGACAACCTCAGAACGATGCAATTTTATGTGGTACACAAGCCTACCATTTGTTAAATTCAGGGCAATCACTAAACAAAAGAAGAAAAGTGGATTCTGAAACTGGGTACAAGGTGGAACAAATTATAAACCTAGTATCTGAAAGCCATACCTGGATAAAAGATAATTTAATGAACCGTACATTTGGACAGCATCTTGAGGAGGAACCTATTTTATATGAAGGTACACAAGCTTATAACATGTTAAATTCAGAGCAACCACTAACTAAAGGAAGAAAAGTGGATTCTGAAACTGAGTGCAAGGTGGAACAAATTACAAATCCCATATCTGAAAGCAATACTTGGATAAAAGATGATTTAATGAATAATACATTTGGACAGACTCTTCAGAACAAACCAATTTTATATGAAGGTACACAAGTGTATAAGCTGTTAAATTCAGAGCAACTAACAAAAGATCATGATGTGATAGTTAACTATAGTAGATCTGATTCTAATATGAAAACTGTTTGTGAAAAATCTATGGCTTCAAATACAGAGGACATACAAGACAGGAGGAGATTCAACCAATATGAGTCCAATGCTATTGAAAAAGTCATTGAACCAAAATCTCAAGAAAAGAAAAAGGAGTTCACAGATCCAACTGTTTCCTCAACAACTGAATCTTTAACAAGAAGTGGAATAAAGGAACACATTAAAAGTCTCAGACAGCAAGATAATAATAAGGTCACATTATACATGTTCTATTGTGTTTGATTACTCTGATCTCTTCCCATACTCTTACGAGTATCTGTGAATTTCTTATAGAATTGACAAGCTTGCTTTTGGATTTTTTTTCAAGCATATACTAACCCTTTTTTTTAATAGGATATAACGAACAGAGAATCAGGAGAAAATGATATTTACAAATGACATTTGTGTTCAATGGCAACACTGTACTTTGACCCTAAGCCAATTTACTGCTTTTGTTGCGGCACCAGCATCAGGCGTAATGCATGTTATTACTATAGAAGAGAAGAAGAGGACACGCAGAATTGCTTTTGTACAACATGCTATAAGAATACCCGAGGTGGGATCATCACATTCAACGGGACAACTGTTTCCAAGACCGATCTTATCAAAAATAAAAATGATAGAGAATGTGAAGAAGCGGTAAATTTAATAATATCTTTGTACTATATTCATCTGAATGTAGATAACTTTAAACTCACTTTTGATTACCATTGTTTCTTCCAGTGGGTTCAATGCAGTAAATGCAAAAGTTGGCAGCATCACGTATGCGCACTCTATAACAATACAAGAGATTTGGAAAACAGTGCTGAATATCTTTGCCTTTTATGCTGCCTAAACGAAAATAGAAATGATGTGCGTGTACCCTATGATGCTAAAGACTTGCCGAGAACCATGCTTAGTGACCACATAGAAGGGAGGCTTTTGAAGCGTCTCGGTCAAATTGAAAGGAATAAAAATCCAGAGGTACGTAAGATTTTTCAAGAAACGAATTTTAATTAGCTATGTTTGAGCATGCATGTGCCCAATTTGTTTAACATTTTTTTAATCTTATGTAAACACGTAAACTGTAAATGCGATGTAAATTATTAATCTGTATCCTTAAAAGAACTCTGGTACAGTTCATACTATAGTAGCTATTCTTCAGCCCAAAAAGCATACATATTGTAAGTCCGACTAAAAATAAGACGATGCATATTTAAGTCTACTTCTTAACAGATAATATTTATTATTGATCTTTATCAATTACTTCATCCTACTTCCTTTTAAAAAACTTAGATATTAATTTAGAAAGTTCGTATTTTCTGATTTGTCACGTGCCAATCAAAATACTAGGTTTTTGTAGCAGACAATCTTTCTGTTAGGGTTGTGCTATCTGTGGACAAACATATTGAAGTGAAGAAACAATTTCTCGATATCTTTGAGGAGGATAATTATCCTGCAGAGTTTTCTTATGCTTCAAAAGTAAATAAACAGGTTAATCAATGAATATATTTACTTTTAACTACATTGTTCTATTCCAAAATGGCAGCATTTGCTTCTGGTTCAGGTTATTCTTCTGTTTCAAAAGATTGATGGAGTGGATGTGTGCCTCTTTGCAATGTATGCTCAAGAGTTCGGCTCAGAATGCGGCTATCCAAATCAGCGTTCTATATATATTTCATATCTCGATTCGGTTAAGTATTTTAGACCCGAAATACATATCTCGGCTAGAGAATCTCTCCGTACCTTTGTTTACCATGAAATATTGGTATGTGTTTTCAAATTTTGTTTCTAATTACTTGCATTTTATCTTTGTAAATCCCCGTGTTTATTATATCCATTAATATGTTTAGCACTTTAAACAATCAATTTTTCCATTCATGTTTTGCTTTTTTGTCCGCAGATTGGATATCTTGATTTTTGCAAGAAAAGAGGTTTTACAACTTGTTACATATGGTCATGTCCACCTATAAAGGGAGATGATTATATATTCTACTGCCGTCCTGAATCTCAAAAAACTCCGAAGAAAAATCAACTACGACATTGGTGCGTCTTTTTTTCTCCTTATCTGTTTTTAGTTTTCATGTAATCAGTGTCTCTGGAAAATTAGCACTATATGTATATTGTTTGTTTAATCATGCAGGTATCATTCAGCCCTAAGAAAAGCTGTTGAAGAGGATATTGTTGTTGGTTTATCTAACCTATACGATCATTTCTTTCTTCCTACCGGAAAATGTGAATCCAAGGTAACAGCTGCTCGTTTGCCTTACTTTGACGGAGACTTCTGGTCTAATGCTGCTATGGATAAAGCCAGCCAGATTGAACAGCATACTGCAGGAAACCGTGAAAAGATGCTGAAATTAATACCAAACAGATCTTTGAAGTCGATGGGATGGGTAAATCTTTCTAAAGAAACTGCCAAAGATATTCTAGTGATGCAGAAGGTAAGTTTCTAACAGGAAGTTGTTCTTCATGAACACAGATAGATTTCATGTCAGACTATTAGTTATTTACTTTTCTTACTGAAACAAAGGTACCCTTAGTCCCGCACTTTCCCTGTTGCATTGTTCTATATTTACGTAAATGAATCTTATCCAGTGGAATATATGCTTTTATACATGTTTGAATGAAATGTTGATCCATATTTATTTGCTGGTATTTGATCTTTCTTCCTTTTGTTTTTAGCACCCTATAACCAGCTGAGACAAACCATATCACCTTTCAAGGAAGATTTTATTGTAGTTCAACTTCAGTATGTTTGCATCCACTGCCATAAAGTGATAGAGTGTGGGAAGCGATGGTTTTGCAAGGAATGCAAGATATTTCAGGAGTGTGAAAGGTGAAGACCTCTTAAACATCAAATATTTGAACTGCTTTTTGCCCATTTCACCCATATAAATGGGTTTTATATGATTGAATTGGAAATTTGATATAGAAAAACACTTTCCTTCTCCAGAATACGGACTTTGCATATTTTTTATGTCGACTATGTTCTTGTAAACAAGTGCTAATGCTTAATTCACTCATTGAACAGCTTGCTATAAATATAAACATTGCCCCCTACGACACTATTCTTATAATTTGTCCAAGTTCTTTTAAATTATTTAAATACAATAGACAAACTAGGATTATGTATAAATACTGCTTCCACAACTTGAATTATATTACTTATTATAGCTTTATTGTTCAGGGTCTTCTCTGTGCTGTCTTCTTCCCCCTAGATTTTATGTGTTGCGTATGCTAAGCTTTCTGGCTTTATATTTGGTAGCAGGATAAGAAACAAAAGTGCTTATGTCATTTGCTTTTCATGTGAACATTGCAGATGTCACACTGCTGATTCACACACTTCTGTGAAAGGCGAGAAGCACAAACTTTGTGAGGTACTTCCTAGACTTTAAGAAATGTTCATATGATTTTCTCATCAACCCTTGGTGAGTATTTGAGACACCGTACATGTTTGAATTGTGTGTTCCAGGACCTTACGGGACGCATACTTCGTGATACAACTAAGGAGAAAGATATCATCTTTAATAATGGGTTATTTGATACCAGATATAACTTTCTTAGCTTTTGCCAAAGGAATAGGTTTCAGTTTGATTCACTTCGTCGAGCCAAGTATTCCTCAATGATGATCCTCCATTTTTTGAGCAACCCTATTGGAATAAATTGCCAAGTTTGCTGTAAACCCATTGTTAGCAAGTGTTACTGGAAATGTGGGAATTGCCCGGAGTTCACTGTCTGTTCTGCATGCCATATCGCCAGAGGTTCCAAATGCCATGCACACACGTTGAGTGAAACTTGTTCGGCCGCACTATCTTCTACTGGGAGTGAAAAATTAAAGCAGAATACAGCAGTGGTATGAGTGAACCTCAGTTTTATTTTCCGTTCTTATGATATAATATGCATGAATGCATGATTGCTGAGCCAACCTTACTATGCAGTTGCAGGAACTGCTGGATGTTATAAAGCACGCATCACAGTGTCATTCAACTCAAACTCAACCATGCACGTACCCAAACTGCTTTAAAATAAGAAAGTTGTTTTCTCATGCAAGTAGGTGTACTGTTCGAGTTTCTGGAGGATGCCAACATTGTAAGAAGGTTTGGCAGGCAATAGCTTTACACTCAAGGAATTGTAGAGACTCAGCATGTCGCGTTCCTCGTTGCATGTCGGTTACTTTTACATCTTTCCATCTACACTCTTTTTTTTTTCCTCTAAATTTTGCATAAATATTTATTCTTTGGTATATGTTTTTCTACAATTTGCAGGGATATGAAGAAGCAAGCAGAGTTGCAGCATGCAATCTGAATCACGACGTAGAGCTGCAATTTTGGAAAACTTTTTTCTGTATTGAATAAATGAAATGTTGTCCATAAAATTTTTAAATCTTTTATCTTAATTTTAAACTTAGATATTTTTTAGGTTTAATAATTTTATAACTCTATATTTTAAAATTTAATAACTTAATAACTTCATAATTTTATAATTTTATAATTTTATAATTTAATAATTTTATGATTTTATATTTTTATGATTTTATAATTTCATATGAAATTGTAAAATTATGAAAATTTGAATTTACGAAATTATAAAATTTTNCGCGTTCCTCGTTGCATGTCGGTTACTTTTACATCTTTCCATCTACACTCTTTTTTTTTTCCTCTAAATTTTGCATAAATATTTATTCTTTGGTATATGTTTTTCTACAATTTGCAGGGATATGAAGAAGCAAGCAGAGTTGCAGCATGCAATCTGAATCACGACGTAGAGCTGCAATTTTGGAAAACTTTTTTCTGTATTGAATAAATGAAATGTTGTCCATAAAATTTTTAAATCTTTTATCTTAATTTTAAACTTAGATATTTTTTAGGTTTAATAATTTTATAACTCTATATTTTAAAATTTAATAACTTAATAACTTCATAATTTTATAATTTTATAATTTTATAATTTAATAATTTTATGATTTTATATTTTTATGATTTTATAATTTCATATGAAATTGTAAAATTATGAAAATTTGAATTTACGAAATTATAAAATTTTAAACATTACTACAAAAAGTCTTTTGAAATAGTTTAATATGTTTCAATTTTAAGAAAAACAAAATCTTTCAAATTGTGATGGTTTTTTTGAAATTTTTTACAATTATAGACTTCGATTCTAATCTAAGTTTGTATTCATATATGTTTTGATTTTTTAAAGAAAATAAAACTTATAATTTTTTAAATAATTTCAAAAATGTCACAAGTAAATTTTTTTTTCAAATATTTACACAATTATATGTCTCAAAGAACTAAGGTCTATAGTTTTTCTAATAATTTCAAAAATGCTAACAATGGTTATGTTTGTAGATGAGGAGCACGGTGAGATGAGAAAAAAATAATTTTTCTTAAAAAGAAATAAAGGAATAAGCTTCGGCTCTTATTCAAAAAATAATTGAAGCATAAAGTAAAGAATAGATTTGGTTATAAATTGAAGCCTAAAGTTATATATTTTTTACTTTGTTTGAATATACTTTGGTTAATGAATCAAAACATAATCTCCAAAATAACCAATGTAAAAGCCCTTACTTGTAGTAGCGAAAATTTTAAAATTATAAAATTATAAAATCCTAAAAGTAAAAAATTACAAAATTGTAAAATTATAAGATTAATTAAATTCTCTTTGGTGGCGTTGGTGGATTGGATTCGGTAGTGAAGGATAGGGAAATAGTTTTAATTTTGGTTTTTTTTGTAATTCATTTTTGTTTTTATTGAACCCCTATGATAATGCATGCATGATGCTTGAATGCATGAATGTATGAACCTATAACGAAAAACTTTGATTCGACCATTGTCTAATAAAAGGCCGATATGGAAAGACTTTGTTATGTGGGCCAAACAAGCTGGGCTTAAGGATGGGTCTAGACGAGCTGGGAGGGCCATATGAAATTGGGCTTTGAGGAAGAAATGAAGTGGATGCGTAGCTAGGGAGAGAGGTAGCTAGGGAGAGAGGCTAAAGGAAACTCTCAAGCTCTCTCTCTCGATGACCTCCAAGCAAGAACAATGATCTTAACTGAATCAAAGCTAGCACATTGTTAAGAAATGGACTTTAAGCTATAGGCTCCAAACCATGACTCTGATACCATGTTAGAAAGTGGGTTTAAGCCTAACTCAACCCCACAAAACCAGCTTGTAAGGTGAGGTTTGCACCCACTTATATACTATAAATTGGCCTTATCTCTAGTCAATGTGGGACTTCCAACAAACTCTTTTGAAGTTGTTGGATGCACATGGAAGGTAGCAGTTGGTTGGACGCTAGGTGCAAACCCCTCCTCGTTGAGCGTAAGGTTTCATCTTGCTTCAATTAAGTTGTTGGACTGTTTCTCACGTGAGAGAAAATTAAGCAGGTTGTTGGTTATGTGCCTCTTGCTGGACAAAATTAAGTAGGATGCTGGTCTATGCATCCAAGTGAGAATTAGGCTCACTTCTGCATTCTTAAATTTCCTTTCTTCTTATTACTTATCATTTTTGAAAGTGTTGGATCTTTTAATGGCCCTAGGTTTCGCGTTATTCTATCACATATAAAGGACTAAACATGACTATAGACAACATGGATGGATTCAAAAATCAAATGACATTAAATAAGCATATAAGATCGAAAAAAACAGCAAGGAATGACTCAAAAATAGAAAAGGCATATAAACATATGAAAAACCTAGTGAAAAAGATGAATGGTTCCAAGAGAAGAACAAAGTAGAACCATAAAAACAACAAAAATGGTAACAAGATTATGATAAGTAAGAACAACACATAAAACATAGTGAAGATAGTTAGGGAAAAAAGGAAACTTAGCTCTTGAAGAATTAAGGCTCTTGATATCACATGATAGCAACCTCCTTATGCTAGGTTGGGCCAAAGATAGGAGATGTGCATGGATGAGTGTTTCCTTGGATGGACAGTGCGAAAATGTGGTGGTAAATGGTCCAAGGATGATGAGATAAGGTGTGGATGGTGTAGAAGCTCACGGTCTCTAGGAGATATATGGTGGTGGTGTTGTAGTATTTGGTGGCTCCTAGAGAGGTAAGACCAACTCAATGAGAAAGGTTACTAGAAGGGTCTCTATGGTTGATCTAGTCTTGATCTAGGAAATGTATGGTCAAATTTTGGCAGCATAACATTAATAAACTTTCAAGATGATTACAAGAGAAGAGACACCTCTATATATAAGCAAGAGTGTCTCCTAAAAACCCTAAAAGAATGATCTCCCACTTTTGCACTCATTACCTGAAAATGAGGCCTTCTAAGGAGTGGAAAAGTGTCCACAAATCCTCTCCAATGAGGGGAGGACATGTGGCCACGCATAAAGCACGATCCTCTCCATTCCTAGAGTATCATGTGGCTAAATCCTCTCCAATGGAAGCACGATACATGGCACATACTTTCCACATGGTTTGGATGTCTAGCTTGAGGAAAAATCCTATACTAATTAGGCCTTAATACAAGCCTTAAACAAACCTACATTACATGGCCAAATACAATGGCCTAAACAACCTACACTACTTTTCAAACTATGCTCCATGATGGCTCCAAAATCCACAAGGTAGAGTTGATACGATTTTCAAGGATGACTTTCACTATTCTTGAAAGTACTTGACCATGACTAAGGGATTTGTCATCACATGGTGATTCTTATTACATAGAGTCCCTTATTGTTAGGAATAATTCAAGTATGAGTATAAATCCTACATTGAGTAGATATGACAAAGTTTAACATTATATAAGAAAAAAGACATAAACTTCATGTCTCGATGTTTTTGGTTAAAAGTGGTGTTAATCCTTTTTGTGGATTGTCTGTCACATTTATGTAATCTCTTCCTAATGAACCTTCTCTAAAAAGAACCTATCAGTTGTATAAGAGTTGACAGTTCATCTTAGTGGTCGTCTTAGATCTTTGTGATACCACCAATAACACAACAACATCACAATCATATCAACGATGGTTTAAGTAAAGGTCACCCTACTCTTGAGGAGAAATATATCATAAAAAGAGCTTATTCCTGAGGGGGAGATTGTTAAGAATAATCCAAGTGAGTCTAGATCACACATTGGATAAAAATTACCAAGTTAAACCCAATATAAGAAGAAAGAGACATAAAAGGTTTTGGTAGATGTAGGTTATGGACCCATGAACGCCCAAGCATGTGAAGAGAAACATTTTGGTTTTTGTTTATGGAATCTCATTAATTCCTCATTCCTTTCTTCCATCATGAAAACTTGGCATCCCATCTTTTTGTATTTTCAGCTTTTGATATCCAAAAGAAGTAGCAAGTTTATAAAATACAGCTAAGGCATATTGTTCCACAATGTGGCGACCTATTTGGATTTGCTAGCTAACTCTAGCTCCATTCTGTTGAATCATTAAGGGGTCGAAATTGGGAACACATTTAATGGGTCTTCTAGACATGTTTGTTATATGTTTGGACAGGAATTTGGAGTGAAAAGAAAAACCTTGTGATGAGGCCGGTGTGAGAGATACGTGTGCGGCCAGATCTATGTGTTTGATTTATGCCTCGCTTACAGATATGTGTGTGGCCATCCATTTGGAATAAAGCTCAGAGGACGGTGTGAGGCCCATGTGACATTGTTTAAGTGCCTTTTACTGAATTTATTCTACTTGTTCGGTAGAGAGGGTGTTTGTGTTAAATCCTTCTTTAGAATTTCTTTCTTCTTTTGTTCCCCTGCCTCTTCCCCATCAAAACATTCACAAGAGAAAAACAATTGTCCAGGTAAATTCTCCACGCATTTAAGAAGGCCATGATTTTGTACATTTGCACTTCAAAAATAAAAAACCAAAACTGGCCTCAAAGTTAAATGTTGCATTTGTACATGATTGGTTGCTTCAAGTTAACATACCCTATTATTAAAATGTGATTTCAGTCTAGTTCATCCGTAAAACCAAACTTAATTAAAGAGATATTTAATTCAATTATATAAATTGATTTTATATAGTTATAAAATTTCTATCATATTTCTTACATTCAAGACATAAAATATAAAATATAAGAATGAAAAAAGTCAAGTAAATTTCTTTTTTCACAATAGACTGGATATATTATATTATGACAGACGACAAAAAAAATAGGTCATAATGTATTTTTATGCTACATCATAGAATGCAGAGTTATTATAAATACCAATCAATTCACTTGTTATAATATATCTATTTTATTCAGTCATAAAAAGTAGTTATTAATGACTCTGATAAGTGAATTTAAGTTCAATTTATTCTCACAACCCCAAGTACATAAAGAGAGTTTATTACCT